CGGTAACTGGACCTAGCCGTGGAGCCCAGCAAGCAAGATTCGTTTTTATTGTATTTAACATGAGGTAAAATTGTCCTAAGAATTTCAATCAAGTGTTCATCAAACAAAGTGTGGCTGTTAATATTTGCATCAGGGATAGAAATGAATAATTAGTATTTCTCTACTGAGAGAAAAACCTTTGCCAACCAAGATGCCTTCCTAGGACTCGTCTGGAAAAAACTAAATGGCAAGCTTTTCATATCTACATTTTGGTAAGCAATATTGCTAATGGCTATTTTTGCCCTGGGCCTCTTGAGCTCCATTTTCTAGCCTAGAAAGTGCATTTCTGGGCTGTGTGTGGAGCATTACCTAGGAGTTCGGTTTCCTGGGTTCCTTTCATCTGCTCTCCTGCAATGCAGGGGGCGTCTAGCCTGGTCTCCGGTTTCTGCCTGGAGTTACCATGGGCCAAGGGAACTGCTAGCCACTGAGCTGTGAGTAATTTGCTTTTGAGAAGTAAATAGAACCTCGCCAGCAGAGAACCCAGGGGTGTGGCCAGTAGTTCTTTTCCCAGGCTCCTCCCTCCACCCCCCCAAATGACCTTAACCTTCTTTCATAGCTGGAGAGCAGCCAAGTCCAGCCTAAACAATACTCTCAACCTCATTGGCTCTTTTGCCTTGCAGCCACTGCCACCCACAAGTGGCTAAGGCCTTCCCACTAGGGCTCTCAGTGCGGTCAAGGTTTTCTAACTACTGAAAGGCAAACACTGAAGGAAAGGTGAAAAATATCTAGTGTCCATGGGCTTTTAAAGGATCAGTGTTTGGCTTCTGCAATTGGAGGTAGGGGAGGGTCTTTGTCCTGGGGTGGATGGACATCTTCAAGCAATCCCTCAAAGGCCAAAAAGGATGCTTTTGGTAAATGTTCGAGACCTGATTGGTGTCACCCCAGGCGTTAGGATGGATGTAACTGTCACCCAGCATCCTAGGAAACTGCCAAGGAATGCTCTTTTATCCACAGCAAAAAGAGGTGGCATAAAGTAAGGCACAGCTGCCTGTCATCACAGGCATTAGCCCTGCCTGTTAATAGTTGATAGTGACAGAGGGCACAGTGGCACAGGCTTGTTGTCCTTGGCTATTCAGGAGACTGAGGCAGGAGGGTCACTTGAGGCCAAGAGTTTTAAGCTGTAGTGTGCCATGACTGCCCCTGTGAATAGCCACTACACTACAGCCTGGGCAACATAGTCAGACCCCATCTCTAAAGAAATAAATTTAAAAATAAAAATAATAATAATTTGGGCTCAGTGGCTCCTGTTGGTTGTCCCAGCTATTCTGGAGGCTGAGGTGGGAAGATAACTTGAGCCCAGGAGTTCAAAGTCAGCCTGGGCAACATAGCGAGACCGTGTCTCTTTAAAAAAAAAAAAAAAAAAAAAACAGGTAAATATTTTGACTCTGCTGAGAGAGAACATTAAAAAAAATAGTTGATAGTGACAGGAATAAGAGGCCAGTGTAGTCACTTTTGCCCCATAATGGCATGGCCTCAGAGCCAACATCCCAGATCAGGGTCGGGGCCATGGAAAGTTGAGTGTCTGGAAACTGAGCTGCTGAGAGTAGATATACCCTATCCTGGGCTGTCCCTCTGCCCAGCCTGGGGCCAAGGCCACCTCCAGATATGGAGGCAGGTCAAGGCAAGGCAGCTACAGTGAGAAATGAGTAGTCGGTTGCTCCAGGGAGGTGAATATTCCATGGGAACTACCTAACTTCCTTCTCTACACCTTCAGTGGGAAAATCGCTCGCTCTTTTTTGTTTAGTGAGTTATAGCAGCCCATCTTTATTGAGCACTTTATGCCAAGCACTATAATTCCTGTGAGGCAGCTATTATAATCATCTCCATGAAGGCAGGCGCTGTGTCCGTCTTGCTCATTGTCGCATCCTCATCCCTTCATAGTAGGCACTCCTATGTTGTTGAATAAATCAAACAAGGAGGATAAGAATTGGGTGGAGGAAAGAGTAGGCAGGAGCTGCTAAGACTTGGTGTGCCCTATATAGGATTCTTAACATAGCCTGCAAAGACTCTTAGACATGTGGAAAAAAGGAGAAAAGGGAAAGAGGTAAACCTGTGAAAGATTAAAACAGTGTGGAGCGGTAGTAGGAACCAGCCAAGGAGGCTGGAGATCTGAATGTAAGTTCCAGCTCTGCCACTAGCTGTGTGACTTCAGGCCAGTCACTTCCGCTTTGTGATCCTTAGTTCCCTCATCCATAAAATATAGGTATCAGATTAAACAAATTGATTTAGCCGTCAGATGTTCACTGAAGACACGCAGTATGCAAGGCACTGTTCTGAGCACCGGGAATACATTGGTGAACAGAGCCCCTGCTCTTCCATTACGTTCAGAAACTTAGATTCCGTAAGACGGAAACAGACATCGAATCCAGTAAAATGCACGGACAGGACCGATGATGTTACGTGCTACGAAGAAAACAGAACAGAGTGATGGGGTAGTACACGGCAGTGATGTGGCTGTGTAGTCAGAGCCTCTCTGAGTAGGTGACATCTTTGCTGAGACCCAAATATAGTGGGCTGGCCAACGGGTGGTGTCTGGTGGAAGAGTGTTTCAAGCAGGGCAAATGGAAAACAGCAAGAACAGAGATAGGCAAATTCAAGGAATAGAAGTGATGTAACCCTCTTAAAGTCTAAGATTCTGGAAATAGTGATGCTTTGCTTGCATTGTTTAGGTTAGGGATTTGTATATGAAATTGTTTCTTGGTGGTGTGGGATATTTGCTTCTTAACAGAAGTGGCTGAGAGATGGGGAGCCTCTCTGGAGCCCTGAGATACGGCTGTGTCTCGCTCGCTTTCCACAATTCTGGTAGCTCAGCTGGCTCTCTGCAGACGCGGGCTCCATTTTAGCTGCAGACTCTACAAGCAGACTGGAGAGAGCTGCCTCCTGCACTTCTCTCAGACTCAGAGCCCCAGAACTCCCTCCCATCCCACCTAGCCTTCTTCCAACCTCAGGAGCCAGGGAGCCAGGGCTTTGAGAGCACGAGATTCAGCTTCCTGGTTTTCCTGTCAGCTCAGGAGCCAGAAAATGAAACAGGAAACAGAGCGGAAGAGGAGGGGGTTGGGTAGCAGAGAAGGAAAGGAAGGAGAAATAGCAGGAAAGTAGAGCTGAAGATCTGGACAAAGTTCTACCTCCACAGGGTGAGAGTTGAGCTTTTAGAAAACATTCTGACTTGTCACAAGAGACCCCTGGCCCTTTTACAAATAGATTTTTGAGGGAATCTGGTGTGGACAGGGGGAACCCTAGAATGTATGTCTTTTTGCCCTTTCAATTTACAGAGCAAGGACAGTTTATTTTTCAGTTAGTTTTTGCGGAGAGCTGCCTGGAGCCTCACGCTGGACTTCTAGAGATTCAAGTCACAACCTCAGGCCCCAGTCACAAGTGTGCCCCAAGGCTTTGCCATTTCACTCACAGGCCTCTGGCCTGAGAACAAGTGTGAGTCACTGAAAATTCTGTGGGAAGAGCCTTCTAAACTCCATTTTTCCCCCTTCTCCAACACACGACCAAATGTGATTTGTACTTTATTCACCTGACACCCAACAAATATCTGAGGGTAGTTTAGGGATCTTTTGAGCTCAGGAGTTCGAGACCAGCCTGAGCAAGAGCGAGACCCCATCTCTGCTAAAAATACAAAGAAATTGGCTGGACAACTAAAAATATATAGAAAAAATGAGCCAGGCATGGTGGCGCATGCCTGTAGTTCCAGCTCCTCGGGAGGCTGAGGCAGGAGGATCGCTTGAGCCCAGGAGTTTGAGGTTGCTGTGAGCTAGGCTGATGCCATGGCACTCACTCTAGCCCGGGCAACAGAGCGAGACTCTGTCCAAAAAAAAAAAAAAAAAAAAATCAAAAGATACAGTCCCAGGCCCCCACAGAACTGATGTGGGCTAGTCTTTCCCTGGTGAGGTAGCAGCCATCTCTTTGTTCCCACCCACATTAGTAGCTGTTGCAGAAGATAAACCCCTTCCTCAGTCAGGGCTGTGGCCAGAGGGTAACCCAGACCCTGGCTTGGTTTGCAGGGCAGATAACTGAAACCACAGAAGGCTTTGGAATCCTGAGAAACAAGAAATCCACCAACGGAGAAGGATTTATTATCTGTTTCCTTTAAGGAAGGTGCAAAGTTGTTCTAACAGTTTCCGTTACAGGGGTACCAACTGGCCGCTCCCCCCCAGTAGACGGTTTTGTTGAGTTTGTTTTTTTTCTTCTTTTTTGGTCCCACTTCCTATAAGAGAAGCTGCTTGAGTGAGGGAGGTGAAAGGAGTCCTGGGGATATTCTGAGGTTTTCCTTACAATCCTCGTTAGCCGCTGAGTTGGGGCTGAAGACTGAAGTGGGACAGAAGGTCCCTGGTAGCCAGGGGAGGGGAAAATCAGGGGGATCCCCTACTTTCTTCACACCCAGGACGCAGGGTGCCACTGCTGGCCACAGAAACCCCAAGAGGGCTTTTCTCTGACTATTCAGAGAACATCTATTGCGTGCCAGACCCAGTGCTAAGCCGTTGTTGCCTGACAGCAGGAAAAGCGCGGCTCTGGCTTCTGTGAAGAGGCCGCGCGCGGGTCAGCCCCCAACCACGAGAGTCTTGGCCTACATCGGGAACTCGGTGAACGTCTGGGGCATGGAACTGGGGCAAGAGCACCGACTCTGAGACAGCTGCCCCGGCGCGCTAACTGAAGGCGGGGGCAGGGGGTGGGGGTTGGAGGAGGGAGAAGTGCAAGAAAGAACTCTTCAGGTGTCAGCAAGGTGAGAAGGTGCTACGCGCCGAGGCGCGGAACCGCGGTCCCCGCCCCGCACGCCCGGAGCCAACATGGCCGTCGCAGAGGGAGGCGGGGCGGCTCCGAGTCCGGGCAGGAGCGGGGCGGGGCCGCCTTCGGCGGAGCCAGCGCGCAGGCGCGGTCCGCGCGGGCCCGGATGGAGGAGCCGAGGTTCGGGCCCAGCCGGGGAGGTCGGGACCGGCAGGCGCAGAGGACCTGGCGGCAGCTTGGGAGCCCTGGCGTTCCTAGGGGAGGGAAGCTGTCAAACGGAGATGGAGAGAAATGAGGCGAAGGCCACGAAGAAGCAGGGAGCCCCGCCCCTCCGCCATAGCGGCCTCGGGCGCCGCCTCTTCCTTTTCAGCCTCCCACCCTCGCCAGCTTCCGGCGCTGTGGCCTGGCCGGGCTGCGTAGGCTCCCTAGGGAATAGTCCCCGGGCCCTGGCCTCTCTAGGGTGAGGGGTAGATGCCTGGTGCCTGGTGGGGACTGTGTCGGGAAGGAGCCGGCCAGAACGGGCTTCAGACACGGCTCGGCTAGCAGACAGCAGTCCCTTGCTTGGGACAGCCCGCGAGGCCTTTGGCCCTGAGAACGCTGGGTCAGAGCGACTTAGCCAAAGCACAGAGAATGTTAGTTTTATTCAGAGGGTTCAGGGCTCCAATTCAGCAGGCTTTCCCAAATTCTCAGATAGGGCCCACCTATCCTAAGCATACCCAGCAAGAGCATGCTCTGTCATTTGAGGAAGTACTGAGCTTGGCGTTGGGAGATCTGGGTCATAATCCTGGCCAGGGAAGAGTGCATACCCTTGGCCGGGATGCAGGCTGGTACCATGTTTCAGAAGGAAGAAACATGACACCCCCTTTAAGTAGCGTTGGGTGTGTCACTTGACCCTGGTGAACCTCAGTTTCCACATCCATAAAATGGCGATGGTAATTATGCTGGCCTCACAGTGTCTAATGAGGTCTCTGGGGCCTATTTATCTCATGGGAAAGTAAGAGTGAAACTAGTTGGTCTGCAAGTGTTCTGCCAGTTGAGAGTCTGTGATTTAGCAAAGGGGTTTTTGGGAAGTGAGGCTGACAATTAGCTGAGAAGGAGAATTGACTAGCTTTGTTTTTACTTGGTTTACCTATAAGCTAAGAATGGGCTACGAATCTTCTGTGGTCGCTGAGGCTAGAGCTTGACTCTGCAGAGAGGAAAGGAAGAATGCAAACCTGGTCAAGAGGCCAGGTGCGTTAAGTGCTTTTCTGTTCCCAACGTCTCTTCTGCATGTGGGTGGGAAGCCAATGAAGGGAAAAAGAGCGAATTCACCCTAGGGTAGGGAAGGATAGCTGTGTGAGGCTGGGTGTGTCTGTTTCCGTGATTTCTTTCGATTCAGCGAGTCATACTTTGGAAATGTTGGGTAGATTCGCAAACTACCGCTGCTCTCTGGGGTTTTCAGAAGCTTGCCTTTGAACTGAATTTTCGTGAGCGAACCGGTGTGAAGTTGGCGGCCCCTCCCTTCCTTCAGGCCCCCTGGAGATGGAGTAAGCATCAGGCGCCCCCTTGTGCTGCGGTAGGAGTACTGTTGCTGTTGGCCAACCTTGCTCCCTTTCTGGGGAAATTTGATTTTCCTGTGGCTTCTGTGACTTTGTTGTCTTGCTCTTAACATGGAGACATATATCTAGTCAGTGAACTGGTGATGCTGTATCCTGTCCCTGCCATTTCCATTCATTCAGAACATAGGTTTAAGATGCCTATTTGTATGTTAGGCCCTGAGGATATGGTTGTGACATAAAGCACTTGCCCTCACCAGCAACTTAAATAAACACTAGCAATAAATACGACAGGGCAGAGGGCAATAAGAGCATATTATGAAAGCATAGCACATAGTCTAGTGAGGATCAGAGAAGAATTCCAGAAACAAGTGATAACCAACGTAAAGGCCAGATAAGAAAGAAGAGTTTTCCAGCCCTTCTTGTTAAATTTCTCAGTTTAAATATCTTTTTCTTATAGTTCTTCACCCCAGATCGATGAGCTGCCTCTGATGCTCTTGCTCTCCTTTTGGATTTCTCAGGCTGGTGTTTGAAAGTTCTGTAGGAGCCATTGCTACTTCTTTTAGCCCAAAGAATTGTAAAAAAAAAAAAGTCTTAAAGTGCATTCTTTACCTCAGAATGGCTTTGCAGTTGTTTATACATTGCTGCCATTCCTACAAAGAGATGGAAATAACAGTTTTCTACATCTCTGGTAGTCAACTCTGTCTTCACCCTAAGTTTGTTTCAGCAGTGTGAGCTGGCTGAAGTCCTGCTGAGTGGTGGTTTTCTTTTCCTTCTCCACTTAATTTAACAGACCAGCTGAACACACATCAAAGAGCTAAGCTGGAGTGTGTAGTCATTATGGTCTTCCAGTATGGTTTTATGTCCCACTTTTGGGCCTCTGGTTTGGGACCTAGTTTATTATTCTGGGCAAGAGGAAAAGGGCACACACCAAATAATAGCAGCTACAACATAGATTTGTGTAGTACTTCACACTTTGGTCCATTTCACTGTTATGACAATTTTGTGAGATAGGCAAAAGAAAAAGACTGATCTCATTTTTTACGTAAAGAACTGAGGCTCAGAGGTACTAAAGAGAACTTGTAAGTGACAGAGTCAGAACTTGAACCCAGGTCTTTAGTCCATAGGAGCACTCAACAGGCTTTTAAATATTTTCTGTGAGCTTAGCTTTCTTTCCAGCTTTATGCGTATCCGTGTGGAACTTTTCCGACAAGAATACAGTGCTTCAGAGTGACACCTAGTGAACCCTTCTGCCTTCAGGATTCTTTTCCCTCATCTGGGAAGTTAGGTGATTGAGTTTGCTATGGTAATGCTAAAGGGGGCAGTTCCTATCATGAATTCCTTAACGAATTTGCTTTCAACCCATGTATGACATTTTCTTTCTTGGGTTTTAGAGTTTAGAAGCCTGAGAGAGCTCAGTCCTGGTAGCAACACCCCTGAATTCCTGGTGATGAGAGGATGTGGCCCCTGGACCCATCCCGGAAGGAGGTGCTGAGGTTTGCAGTCAGCTGCCGTGTCCTGACTCTGATGCTGCAGGTCAGTCTCTGATCCTTCATCCTGAATGTGCTGTTGCTACGTGACTGGGCTAGGCAGTAAGAATAGTTAGTGCCCATCTCCTTTCCACCTCTTGGGTGTGCCCGTCCGTGTGATTGGAACCACAGAGATATGGACTGAAAAGTGGTTAGGAGTCTTAGAAACGGTGTATTAACCCCTTGTTTTACACATGAAGCAACAGAGGCCCAGAAAGGTTAAATGACTTCCCCAAAGCCACATAGCAAGATAGAGAAGGGCCAGAGTTAGACCCTAACTCCTGAGCCAGTGGTCTTTCAAACAGACTGTGATGTGCTGTATCCATAGGTACTTTTAGGGTGTGACAGCTCAAAACATTGTCTTGGCCGGGCGCGGTGGCTCACGCCTGTAATCCTAGCATTCTGGGAGGCCGAGGCAGGTGGATTGCTCAAGGTCAGGAGTTCGAGACCAGCCTGAGCAAGAGCGAGACCCTGTCTCTACTAAAAAAATAGAAAGAAATGATCTGGACAACTAAAAATGTATATATACAGAAAAAATTAGCCGGGCATGGTGGCGCATGCCTGTAATCCTAGCTACTCGGGAGGCTGAGGCAGAAGGATTGCTTGAGCCCGGGAGTTTGAGGTTGCTGTCAGCTAGGCTGACGCCACGGCACTCACTGTAGCCCGGGCAACAAAGCGAGACTCTGTCTCAAAAAAACCACATTGCCTTTAGTCCCGTTACCAGGAGACTGAGCACTGTGTCAGTCAGTTGAGTGGGACAGAGGTGGCACTGTGTAAATCCTGAGATCATCTGTATGTACTCACTAATCAGTAATGGCTCCTCTTCTTCCCCCAGGCACCTCCCCTTGCTGCCTCACCCACATACAGCCCTCAATGCCTGTGCCCTTTTGCACCTCCCTTTGCCTCCCCAAGGCTGCCCTTGATACATATTTTATTAAAATTTCACATATATATGAATGACTTGGTGCCTAGCACAGTGCCCGGTGCTTAGTAGGTCCTCAGTGTATATGTTTGTAAATAAATGAATGTTGTTGAATGTATGTCAACACCCTAGGGATGTTATATTAACATAATTATGTGTGCCTTTTATCACGGCACCATTCTCTCTGAGGCTCATAGCTGCTTCCTTTGCAGAAACCTCCTTTCCTCTCTCCTCCCCCAGTATCTGAGGCATAGCAGGCTCTTTTGGGTTCCAGGATTAGTTAAACGCGTCCTCCACCTAGAGGCTAGGGCTGTTATCTGTGACTGTCACTCCTGTCCCATTTGTTTTCACTGTTTGAAGTAGCCTGATAAGGAAACTGACCAAAAAGGGAAAGAGCCTTAAAAATGGGGCTATGTTCCTGTTGCCAGGCTGGGGAGACTGAGTCAGTGATGGCTCAGCATCAGCTGAGTTTTTGACAGAGCCAAAGGAGGAATGCTGCAGATCAGTATCCGGATAGGTGTCCGGGATAGGCGGGGTAGCCAGGGCAGCTGGGTTCTAACTCAGGTGATGATTTTAGAAACAGTATGTTTCCTCTCAGCAGCTCACTCACCAACCAAAAATTTTTTAAGTACCTATTGTGTTCCAAAAACTGTGCTAGGTGGTGAAAAAATCATGGTCTCTTTTCCCATAAGTAGCTGACAATCTAATGGGGCAAAAAGACGTTTAACAATAAATGCAGTTTCATTATCCCTCCCCCATCCCCACTTTAACGCTCAAGCCCTCAGATTTTATCCCTAGTTACTGTTCATTGTTGCTGTCATTTCTCTGTCAGTGACAGCTATTCCTTGAAGGTTTTAGCTCCTGGTTCACTGTCTCTCTTCCCGGCACTACTTCCTTTGATTTTTTGGTGGTTTCAATATTAATGAAGATGATGCATGCAGTGCTCTGGTCTCTAACTTCCTTGTCCTGCTACTTTCTAGTGATCTTGTCCTCAGCACTGTCATAGTCATACCCTAAACCCCTAACCCATGCCAAATAATCTCAATTTCATGCATTGCATTCTTTGACCACTATCTCCTATCTTTCTAGCTCACCCTCTCTAGTACCTCAGTTCTAACGATTCTTCCACCCTGTCAGGATTTATAATCTATTGATCCTACTGCTGTTTCACTGTCCCTCACCCACTGCATGGCTTCAACTCCCCTTCTTACCCAGCTAAGATTCCATGGTCCATCATGGTGGTCATCCCCATGTATATATACTCAACTCTCTTGCTCCCTTCTCTCTGTCTTAGTCACAAAACAAAAGCCCAACCTTCATTAAATCCAATTCTCTGCCTACTCCTTGCCTGCATCTGCCCAGAGAAAAACACACAACTGTACTAACTAGTCTTTTTTAATTCAAGTTCACTAACCCAAGTGAGTCCTTTGTGCTACCCAGCAATCTTAGTGTATTTTCCTAGACCAGTCACCCTCCCATTCTGAAAGTTTTCTGCACATCAGAATCACCTGGGGAAGTTTTAAAAGAAAATTCCGATGCCCAGGCTGTCCCCCATACCATTTAAATCATTGACTCTGGGGGAGGGACCCAGGCATCAGTATTTTTTGAAACCCCCTGGGTGATTCCAGTGCCCAGTCTATTTGGAGAACCAGGGTCATAGATGACTTATGTTACATATTTCCCCAATACTCAATCTCAATTGATAACTTGCTTTCTTGAATGAAAACTCAGAAAAAAAGAGGGCATTAGAAGAGACCTTCCACATGCTCCCCTCATATTCATCTGTCTACCTATGTCTGCATCTCTGTGCCTTCAGTACTGAAGGTTGGATGAACTGTCTGTCCTCTTCTCTAAGGTAGCTCCTCCATCTGTATAGCAGACTCCATCCCCTTCTGCCTGCCCAGCAATCCTCCCCTCTCTCTCCTGCATATTCAGTGGTTTCCTTTTCACCGGATTATTTTCACTAGCATACAAACCCTTATCTCCCACTTTTAAAAAATTTTCTCTTGACTCTACTTTGTTATTCACCTACTACCCAATTTCTCTGCTCCCCTTACAACAAAACTCCTCAAAATCATTATCTGTCTGTACTGTCTCCAATTTCCCTTCTCCCATTCTGTTGAACTCAATCTAGGCAGCCTTCTCTCTCCTCCATTCCATTGAAATAGCTCTTGTCAAAGTCACTGGTGATCTTCACATTGCTTGCCCTCCTGACATTCCAGTGTTTGGTTTTCAGTCCCCATCTTACTTGACCTATCTACAGCATTTAGCAGAGTTGATCACTCCTTTTCTTCACTTGGTTCAAAGATACCATGCTCCTGGCTTTCCCCCTATCTCGCTGACTGTGCCTTCTTTATCTTCATTGCTGGCTTCTCATCCTCTTTCTAGCCTCTAAATGTTGACACTCAGACCTCAATCTCTTCTTTCCTCTATTTGGACTTCCTCCCTAGGGGATCTCATTCTGTCTCCTTTAAATACCAGCCATGCACTTATAACTCCTAAATTTCTATTTACTGTCCTGATCTCTCTTCTGACCTGCAGACTCATTATAGCTCACCACGTAGTTGACTTCTACACTAGAGTGTCCAGTTCAAATTTAGGTAGTACAAAACCAAACTCCTGATTCCCCCAAAACAAGTATGTTCTTCCTTATTTTATTAAATGGCAATTCTTTTCTTCCAGTTACTCAACCAAAATCCTCATTTTTCTTTACCCCACAGGCCATCTTCAATGCCATCATCCCAGATCACCATGCAGAAGCCTTCTGTCCTCCTCGACTAGCCCCCTCAGGCTCTGTGGACCAACTTGTGGAAGGTCTTCTAGGTGGCCTGTCTCGTTGGGATGCTGAACACTTCCTGTTCATTGCCGAGCATGGGTACCTGTATGAGCACAACTTTGCCTTCTTTCCTGGTTTCCCCTTGGCCCTGCTGATGACGACTGAACTACTGAGACCTTTGCGGGGATTCTTGAGCCTCCGGAGTTGCCTGCTGATTTCAGTAGCATTGCTTAATTCCTTGTTCTCTGTGCTGGCCGCAGTCGCACTTCATGACCTAGGCTGTCTGGTTTTGCACTGTCCCCGCCAGGCCTTTTACGCAGCACTGCTCTTCTGCCTCAGCCCTGCCAATGTCTTCCTGGCAGCTGGTTACTCAGAAGCTTTGTTTGCCCTCCTGACATTCAGTGCCATGGGGCAGCTGGAGAGGGGCCGAGTCTGGACTAGTGGACTCCTCTTTGCCCTTGCCACTGGTGTGCGCTCCAATGGGTTGGTCAGTGTTGGCTTCCTCATGCATTCTCAATGTCGAGGCTTTTTCTCTTCTCTTACGGTGCTGAATCCCCTGAGACAACTCTTGAAGCTGATGGCCTCTCTGTTTCTGTCAGTGCTTACACTTGGCCTTCCCTTTGCCCTTTTTCAGTATTATGCCTACACTCAATTCTGTCTGCCAGGCTCGGCTCACCCCATTCCTGAGCCCTTGGTACAGTTAGCTATGGACAAGGGCTACCGGATTGCAGAGGGAAATGAGCCGCCTTGGTGCTCCTGGGACCTTCCCCTGATATATAGCTATATCCAGGATGTCTACTGGAATGTTGGCTTTTTGAAATACTATGAGCTCAGACAGGCGCCCAATTTTCTGTTGGCCACACCAGTGGCTATACTGGTTGCCTGGGCAACATGGACATACGTGACCACCCACCCTTGGCTCTGCCTTACACTTGGGCTACAAAGAAGCAAGAACAGTAAGACCTTAGAGAAGCCTGGTCCTGGATTTCTCAGTCCTCAAGTGTTTGTGTACCTGGTCCACGCTGCGGTGTTGCTGCTGTTTGGAAGTTTGTGCATGCATGTTCAGGTGAGGTGGATTCCTAGCTGGGATAAAGATGTGGATACACTCAAAACCCCTTGGCCAAGGACAGGGAAGATAGCTAACTTCTCCCATCTGAGTAACCTGTACCTAATTTATTCATTCAGCAACTATTTGGGGGTGTTCTTTCTGCCAGACCCCGAATTAGACCTGTGAGGATGGAACATGAGTAAGATAAAATTGCTGCCCTAGTGGGTCTCATGGTATAAATAGGGAGACAGAGATTCAACTGATAAAATTATAGTACAGTGGGATGGAAGAAGGGTTACTGTTTTGAGATGTTAAAAAAAAAAAAAAGTCTTATCTAAAGTATTGTGGAAGCAGAAAGGAAAAAGTAGCTAACTCCCTGGAGGAGTGGAGATAGTTAAGCTGGGTCCTGAAGAGTAAAAAGATATTTTCCATACAGGAAGCAGAGGGGGAACATTCTAGGCAAATGGAAGGGCATGTGTGAAGACATGAGGGTTGTGAGAGGACCTGATTCAACTGAGATATAGGAATAAGCACTGAGGATATCTCTGGGGGCTTCCCCTAATATATAACTATACCCACATTGGCTTCTTGAATATTGGCTTCTGGAGGTACTCTGAGCCCAGGCAGATAACCAATTTTCTAAGGAGATATCTTTTCTAATGTGTGAGGTAACAATAAAGAGGGATGGGAAGGGTTTGATCTTACATCCAAATTTTTGTTCTTAGCTGTGGCCACACCCCAGGAAGTCTTTTTTCCCTTACTGACCTCTCCTTAGCAGTTTCTGCTTCTTAGAGGTATATATTGGCTGTGTGTAAAGTTCTCTGAGCTGTGTGCATAAGAGTCATGGGAGAAAGAGAAAGTAGCGTTCTGTGTTTGTAGCCGGATTGGCTAGTAGAGTGAGTGCCAGCAAAGCTTAGGGTCTCCAGGTTAGATGAGGGAGGCCATTGGAGACTGGGCTCTGAACTCTGCAAAGAGGGAGAATGTTGAACCACAGGATCCTCTACCCCTTTCTCTCTACTCTGACACCCCCCTGGGGTAAGGGAACCACCTCAGGTTCCCAAGTCAACAGCCCACAGTTTAGAGTCCAGGCCCTAGACTAAAATTAGACCCCATAGAGTTTTTAGTATTGATTGACTCATTATTATGGTAATTAGTCTTTAGCTATGTTTATTTGTAACACAGAGGTTGCCTGGCTGGTGTCACATTTATCTTTTTTTTTTTTTTGAGACAGAGTCTCACTTTGTTGCCCAGGCTAGAGTGCCGTGGCGTCAGCCTAGCATGCTAATTTTTTCTGTGTATTTTTAGCTGCCCAAGTAATTTCTTTCTATTTTTGGTAGAGACGGGGTCTCACTCTTGCTCAGGCTGGTCTCAAACTCCTGAGCTCAAACGATCTGCCCGCCTCGGCCTCCCAGAGTGCTAGGATTACAGGCGTGAGCCACCGCGCCCGGCCCCATCCTTATGTTTATAAGATAGATCCTAAACTCTGCTGAATTTCTTTTCCAGCATAATACATTTCTAGTTGTGGGGGCCCATAGTTCACCCAGCAGCAGAGAAGTCCCCAGGCTGGTCTAATTTGAGTCAGTGACATTTCAATAAATGTGTGGGTTTCCCCCCTCATGATTTCTAGGTCCTCACCAGGTTTTTGGGGTCCTCCACTCCCATTGTGTACTGGTTTCCAGCTCACTTGCTTCAGGATCAAGAGCCACTGTTGAGATCTCTAGAGACTGTGCTTTGGAAGCCTCCTGCAGGAGACTCCCCACCAGGACGAAAGGTCCCCAGAAATTCTATCATGGGACTTTTGTACAACTGGAAGACCTGTTCTCCAGTCACACGATACATTCTAGGCTACTTCCTGAGTTACTGGCTCCTGGGACTACTCCTACATTGCAACTTCCTGCCTTGGACATGACTTGGAATCTCCAGGGACAGTCTGGAAGCCAGCTTTACTCAGGGATCTGAAAGTAAAAATACACATTGGGACTTCCTGCACTGTCCTGGGATCATTACTGTGTCCATTAGAATCTCTCTTTGAAGGCTGGTCAGGAATGGGAGGAGTGTGAGCCATAGAGAGCCCTTTCTGGTCCTGGTTAGGGCAAATTTTAGAATAGTAACTATTTTTACTGTAAGTGAAGATTATCTTATTCCAAGTTTAAAGTACACCTGGATCTTTCTAGTCAGTCAGTGAAGGGACAGTTGTTTTTTTTTTTTTTTTTTTTGAGACAGAGTCTCACTGTCTTGCCTGGGCTAGAGTGCCGTGGCATCATCATAGCTCACAGCAACCTCAAACTCCTGGGCTCAAGCGATCCTCCTGCCTCAGCCTCCCGAGTAGCTGGGACTATAGGCACACGCCACCATGCCCGGCTAATTTTTTTCTATATATTTTTAGCTGTCCGATTAATTTCTTTCTATTTTTGGTAGAGACGGGGTCTCGCTCTTGCTCAGGCTGGTCTCGAACTCCTGAGCTCAAACGATCCGCCCGCCTCGGCCTCCCAGAGAGCTAGGATTACAGGCGTGAGCCACTGCGCCCGGCCTGAAGGGACAGTTTTAAACCTACCACTGACCCATGCATAAATTTAAATATAAATTATTAAAAGCAAATTTCATCAAAGGCTTTAGCTAACAGGCTGGTGGTAGTCCCCACAAGATGGTGCAGGCCTCAACAGTGCAGTGGCAGTGGTAAAGTGGGACCATCTTTTCTAAATAGACATTGTTTCTGGTGACTTTTTCATGATCTGCGTGTTTGTTTATATGAAAAATATTACAAAGATATGCAAATTAAACTACTTTCAATTATACATGCAATGAATTACCTTTTTAAAAATAATACAGGCTGGTCCGACGGTAGTGGGTTATCAGAACTTATTAACATTAGTGTCACTAAACTTCGTATTCAACCCCCCACTGCTAAATTTGACTGGCTTTTAAAAAAAAATAAATAAATAAAAATAATACAAATCACTTGGGGAAAAAAAGTCAGGGTAAGAAGAATGTGGCAGGAGCAAGTCTCCAAATGGTCATCTCAGTAAAACCCTGTTAACACCCTGTGTGACTTGGGAGTGTTTTCAGAGCCTTAGTTACCTCCTCTGAAACTAGGGGAAATGCTGTTATCCTTCGGGGTGGGGGGTGGAGGTGGTGAACCATATAGTCTCCTGTAGATCCCTTTCAGCTGTAAGATCTTAACAACTGCCCTAAACAACAGAATCATCCCAGTGTAAACACTGAGGGGGAGGCTTGAACATGTGATTTTAGGAGAAAATATCTCTAGTTCTGTTTTCAGCAATTAGAAGAAACTCTTCCTCTACCCCGAGGGTGCAGCCCTAAGGACTAACTTACGTGATCTTTCCTTTGAATGAGGGAAAGCAGTGACACCTGGCAAATAAGGCTTCTTGCCCTGCAGCGCCTGTGCTTGCTTGATTGGTAGACATGGGTCAGAGGAGCCGCCGCGGCAGCATGAATTGGTAAATTGTAGGTAAGTCCAAGGCTGAATGAAATGGCATTTGCCTTGTGCTTCCTGGCCTCCATTTGGTCATGAGCCTGTCACTCTAATGGTAGTAAGATCATTGACCCCTGCTGAGCTATTTTTGCCCATTCCTTGAGCCAGAGTTCGGCTCTGTATCATCACCTCTCTTATTCCAGATTTGAGCCAAAAATTCCAATAAGCAGAAACTCTTCAAAACAGATGGGTAATCACAAGCAGCTTCTGGAGAGCCCTGAGAATTGGAATTTTGACACACTCCCTCCGACCGTGACAGAAAGCTAAACTTGCCAGCTGAAGGGAAGCTCCTGGCTGAGCCCCAGCACCCTCTGTCGGAGCTTCTGGTCAGCCTGGCCAATAGGCATTTCCCATCCATCGCCACAGCGTTAGCACAGCTGAGAGAATTTGGTCCAGAGTCAAATGCTTCTGAAAATGTACACACAGATCGGGGCAGCCCTCTGCTTTCTGCCAAGACACCGAGTGCCCTTCTTGGCAAAAGATGATCACCCCTGCCCTAGTGTCTCCCTAGTTGGCAGAAACTGTTCGCTCTCTCCTCGCCAACAGCTGCAAATCCAGGGACTTCTGCCCTGTGTACAGGAGGAGTTAGGGTCCTGTTTCAGCTCTATTGCTAAGGTAGGACCACAGGGTTCTTTGCTCTCGGATTCTCCTCTTGGCCTCCTTTGGGGGGTAATCAGGACTGACAATTCCCCTGCTGGAAGAGGTGACTCAAACCCCACAGGATAGGTGTAATTTCACTGCTCGGGCAGTCTCAGCTTAACCCCCACACTAGATCTCCTCGTGCCCAGAAACCCTGCAACTGAGGACCCCAGCTAGGTGGACGCTCCTAGTACAGCCTGGAGACAGACACAGTTTTCTCTGTGGCCTTGGAGGGATCCAGTTGCTGTTCTCTAAGGATCTAAGGAATGGGCTGATTTTATGGCCAGCAGCTGTCCTTTTATCATCCTATTAACAGTCTTTAATAGTCTGGGAGAGGGACATGAACAGCCCAAGGCAGGAAGCTTCCTGTTTACCCTGAGGTCCAACAATGCCACAGCTGGGTGGGGTGTCTACAATTTCAGAGAAAAGTCATTTCCTTCTGAGACCCTGCTGAAACAGAAACCAGATGCCTCATGTACCTGGAAGTAGATGCTTTTTTGTTCTTTAATAAAGGTGGGAGGAGAGGGTGCGTTTGACATGTCTTTACCAGTCCCCTGGAAAAAAAATCACTTCTTGAACAGATCCTCTCACTGTCATCTAAAAATGCAATATGTGAGGGCTCAAGGGATTTGAAATTAATTGATTCTTTCAGCAATTGTTTATTAATACCTATTTTAGGGGAATAAAGATGACTCAGCTATGCCTCCTGTCCTCAAATAACTGTCTAATAGAGTTGCCAGCAGATACACAGAAACATTAATCAAGGTAGAAAGTGAGCAAATGTGGGGAGTGAAAGGACTCTTAAACTTCTTGCTCTATATTTCGCTATTTGAACTTTTAATGATGAGGACAAATTAAAGTTTTGCCTGCGCACGTAGAAAAAGGTGAGGTGTAGAGCATGTCCTCTGTAAATTCACACAAGGTGGAGATCCCTTCCAGCTTGAGGTAGCTGAAAAGACTTGGTGGAGAAATGGCAGTTGAGCTGGACTTTGAAGGGTAGGTAGGATTTGAAAGTTAAGGGTAGAGAATGAAAACAGAAGGCAGGAAATGGAACAGGACAGGACAGGGAGAGCTCAGTATGAGCGGAGCTGAGGTGTTACTGTTGCCAACTAGGCCTTGAAATCAGCCCCAAGCCCAGCTCTACTGTGTACAAGCTGGGTAAACTTGAGCTGGATACTGAATCTCTAAGCCTTAGTTTACTCATCTGTAAAATGTAGATAATACTATCTACCTCATAGATATGAATAAAAACATCTGTTAGGGTAGCTCTGGGAATTAACTATTACCACATGAAAAGTATCTAGAACAGGCCAGGCCTGGTGGCTCATGCCTGTAATTCCAGCACTTTGGGAGGCTGAGGTGGGAGGATCGCTTGAGGTCAGGCGTTTGAGACCAGCCTGGGCAATATAGCAAGACCCTGTCTCTACAAAATGTAAAAAAATTAGCCAGACATGATGGTGCATGCTTGTAGTCCCAGCTTACTTGGTAGGCTGAGGCAGGAAGATCACTTGAGCCCAGGAGTTTGAGGTTGCTGTGAGCTATGATGACACCACTGCACTCTAGCCTGGGTGACAGAGCAAGAACCTGTCTCAAAAAAAAAAAGTGTCTAGAACAGTGCTAACAAAGGAATAGCTGCATTTTGAACATGTTGAATTTACGATGCCAGCAGCACATTCATGTGCCAGGAAATGTGGAACTGGAGATGAGGAGAGGGGTCAGGGAGCCATCCACACAGACATGACAATTACGGCAGCCATGATTTGGGTGGGATTGTCAAAAGAAAGAGTAGAGACAGAGAAGGAAGAGGGGCTGTAAGACTTTGGGCAAGGGACTCAACCTCTCAAAACTGTTTTCTCATCTGTAAAATGGGGGTGACAGCATCTACCACACAGAATAGTTAGGAAGATAAAGCACTTAGCATAGTTCCTGGCATATAGTAAGAGCTTCATGAATGGTAGCTATTTTATTATCATTAAAGGATCAGAAACAAGTTATATTGTTGGGGGGAAAGAGAGTTTCAAAAAGAAAGAAATGGTTAACAGGGTCATATGATATTAAGGTTAAGGAAAGAATAAGAGGCCAGGCACAATGGTTCATGCCTATAATCCCAGAACTTTGGGAGGCCCGAGCAGGAGGATCACTTGAGCCCAAGAGTTCAAGACCAGCCTGGGCAACATAGTGAGACCCCTTCTCTACAAACACAAAAATTAAAAAATTAGCTGGGTGTGGTGGTGTGCTCCTGTATTCTCAGCTACTCAGGAGGCTGAGGCGAGAGGATCACTTGAGCCCAGAAATTTGAGGTTACAGTGAGCTATGATCAGGCCACTGCACTCCAGCCTGGGCAACAAAGCAAGACCCTGTCTCTAAAAAATAAATAAATAAGTAAAAAGTTACGAAGCACCTTCTTTAGACTTAAAAAAAGGAAAGAATGAGAAAAGCTATTGAATTTAGGGCTTGGGGTAGGCTAACTGCTATACCAAACAACTCCCCAAGCTCAGTGGCTTAATAATAAAATAGTAATGAAAGTTCCTTTCTTGTTTATGGTAGTCTAGTGAGGTTTGGGAAGGGAGGCCTGTTCCACCCAGGCTTCTCCATTTTGTGACGCCGCTCTCTTCTAGCTCCTTAGAGTCCTCTACTTTCAGAGAGGTTTTAAGGGGCCAGCCTGGAATAGATGCACATCATTTTCACTGTCTAGAACCTAGTCACATGGCCACATCTAACTGCAAAGAAGTTAGGGTTCCCAGGTAAAATACAGCATGCCCAGTTAACATTTCCATTTCAGGTAAACAACAAATAATTTTTTGGTATAATTATGTTCCAAATATTGCATGGGGCATACTTCTACTAAGAATTTCTTCATTGTTTACTGGAATTCAAATGTAACTGGGCATCCTGTATTTTTACTTGCTAAATCTGGCAGCCCTACTGGGAATGGAAGCCTGGCTGTGGGTTCAAGAAGAAGAGAACACAGATATTTGTATGTCACAGTTTGTCTTTTTGAGTCAAATACCTGTTTCTCCTCACAGAATACACTCACTCCGTCCCAAGGGAAATAGCCCCAAATCTCATCTAGTCACTATATTCAGCTCAATATCTCTTAATCAGCTTCAGATATGGTTCCTTATGGTGCTTTATCAACTGAAAAACCAAGTTATCTGCACTTCGGAAACATACCCAATAAACGTTGGTTGAGCCAGAAAAAGATAACGTCAATACAAACTCCCTTTCAGAAAAGGAAAGCATGGAAGAGGTTCAACAGCAACTGGTCCAAAGCAATTCTGAACTCCCACTGGCCAGGCATATCAAAGCCTCCTTCCCTGGGGCTGAGGGAATTTCCTTGATTGGACCCCGTCCATTGTTCTTCATGGGCTCCTGGATGTGCCTCGGGAAGCTCTTCCTTGTTGACACCCTTCATGGCCACATCAGATACGGGCTTTGGGGAATATGACCGACTTCTTGGAGAATGCTCAGCTTTCATCAACTGCTTCCTACTGGTGAAAGCAATAGGGGCCTAAAGTCTCTACCAAAGGCTCTGTGTGTGTGTGGATGTGGTAACACATACATAAAACTTGGCATTTTAACCATTTAAAAAATTGTGGTAAAATATACATAACATAAAATTTACCATTTTAATGGTTACGAAGTATACAGTTCTGTGGCTTAAGTACATTCACATTGTTGTGCAACCATCTCCAGAACTCTTTCATCTGATACTGAAACTCCATACCCCTAAAACAATAACTTCACATTCCTACTACTTTCTAACCCCTGGCAACCACCATTCTACTTTCTTGTCTCTATAAATGTGCCTACTCTAGGTACCTCATATATATAAGTGGCGTCATGCAATATTTGTCCTGTTGTGTCTGACTTATTTCACTTAAGACATTATTTCATAACATCTTCAAGTTTCATCCCTATTGTGGCTTGTATCAGAATTTCCTTTCTTTTTAAGACTGAATGATATTCCATTGTACCACATCTTGTTTCTCCATTTCTCCATCAGTGGACACTTGGGTAACTTCCACCTCGTGGCTATTATGAATAATGCTGTTATGAACATGGGTGTACAAATATATGTTCAAATCCTTGATTTCAATTCTTTTGGGTATATAGCCAGAAGTAGAATTGTTGAATCATACGGCAATTCTGTAATCTAATTTTTTGAGGAACTACCGTACTGTTTTCCACAGCAGTTGCACCATTTTCCAGTCCCACCAGAAAATACAAAAGGGTTCCAATTTCTCTATATCCTCACAAACACTTGTTATTTTCTGTCGTTTTTTAAAATAATAGCCACCCTATTGGCTATTATTGGTGTGAAGT